AAGCTCTGTGAGTTTATAGAAGATGGGATTCTTTTTTTCATTTCTTTATATCCAAGTCCTTATATAATGCCTATTTCTTTATACTCAAGTCCTTATATAACAAATAAACAGGCAAACAGTAGTATTTTCCCTCTGTGGCTGTACAATTTGACAGCTTATCAAAGAGACTTACAGTATGAATTTCAAAAGCAGACTGCCTTGGTTCTAATTCTGGCTTTCCCATTTAGTAGATATGAGGCTGTGGGTAAGTTACTTCTCAAAGCCTCAATTTCAGAGATCATATCAGTCGTTACCTCATTAGGGTGTTCAAAGAATCAAATCTGTAAAGCCCTTATTGCAGTGCCTGACATGTAACTGGTCCTCTAATAAGTGTCAGCTATGACTGCTGTGGCACTAGAATATGATTAATCACCTGGACCCTGGAATGACATTGAGACAGAGACCCATCTTGCTATTTACTAGGTATGTCATCTTGGGCAAATTCTCCAAATTCAAGTTGATGGTAACAGTACCTGTGTCACAGGTGTGTATATTTGGGTGTGTATATCTTAATGTACAAAGCTTGACTGGTAACTATAACCACTGCTTCAATGCAGTAGTGGAAATTAAGGCATGGTGCCTCACAGACATAAGGACTCAGAAAACTTTAGCCACTATTTTTACTGAGGTGGGATTTGTGTTAAAGCTCTCACATAGAAAATGACGGCATTCCAGGTAAAATAAACAGAAAGTAAAGGCAAACAGGTAATAATTCAAACAGTACATACATTCAAGCAACTCATTCAGGTGGCCCTTTCTGCATAAGCACATGTAGTAACATAAGGTTTATGTGATGGACAGGGTTCCTACTGTAGAAAATTCCAAATGCCAAGCTAAAGATTTTGGAATTTTAGCAAGGTATGATGAAGGTTTTCTGAGCAAGAATGATCTGTAGTTGTAACTACTCAGGAGGCTGAGGAGGGAGGACTGCTTGAGCCCAGGTGTTCAAGGCTGCAGTGAGCTATGACTGTATCTGGGCATTTTAGAGTGAGACCTGGTCTTTAAAAAAAGAAAGAGAGAGAGAGAAAAGTCCCATTTAAAAAGTGGGGTTTTAGGAAGACTACTCTGACAATACATAATTATGAAATGGGATGGAAATATTGTTCTAATACTACTAACACAATGGTAAGGTAGCAGGTGAACAGGGAACGAACAGGTAAATCCAAAATCATCACAAATACACAAAATAGACATGTTTTTATATCTACTTAAATGTGTTAGGAACTGGGAAAACCAATAATAACATCCAAGGTTTAGAACTTATATGAGCAGAATGATGGCATAATTATAAGTATTTTAATGGTGGAGAGGAGGCTGGGCACAGTGGCTCATGCCTGTAATCCCAGCACTTCGGGAGGCTGAGGCAGGCGAATTTCCGGAGTTTGAATTTGCCTGAATTCAAGAGTTTGAGACCAGACTGGCCAACACGGCGAAACCCCTCTCTACTAAAAATAGAAAAAATTAGCCAGGCGTGGTGGTGGGTGCCTGTAATTCCAGCTACTCAGGAGGCTGAGGCAGGAGAATTGCTTGCATTCGGGAGGTGGAGGTTGCGATGAGCCGAGACTGTGCCACTGCACTCAAGGCTGGGCTACAGAGTGAGATTCCATCTCAAAAAAAAAATAATAATAATAAAAACAAAGGAGGAGAGGAAATTGAGAGGAATAATTAGCTTGCTTTTTGTTTTGTTACCTGTCTTGATTTACCATAAGAGCAGAAAAACCCGATAGAAATGTTTTTCTGGCCAGGCATGGTGGCTCATGCCTGTAATTTCAACACTCTGGGAGGCCGAGGTGGGCGGATCACCTGAGGTAGAGTTCAAGACCAGCCTGGCCAACATGGTGAAACCCTGTCTTCATAAAAATGAATGAATGAATGAATGAATAAACAAATAAAAAGAAACGTTTACTGAAGAAGCAAGAATCGAGGGACTCATGAGAGGCAGAACTAAAAAATCAGATTTGGGATTAATCCTCCCAGGAATGAGACATTAAGAGTGCTGAGTGATAAAGCACCTAATGATTTGTTTAACTACATCTAAAGAGAGTAGAAAGAAAGAACTAGGCCTCATTTTGTGGAAGCAAAGACTACCTGAGAGCCAGCTGCAATAAACACGAAAGAAAAAGAACAAACGCTAAGGAAAAGTAATCAGAAAGTTCTAAGTAACTTTTAGGGCAGTAATGGCATAAACCGAATTACAAGGGAGTAAAAAGCGAGTAATGAGTAGGGCATACTTAACACTGAAAATTCTTATTTATGGGAAATAGTCTTACAAAATGGGTCCAATAACCCTCCCTACAATATATAACTTAATGAGTCATCACAGGAAGTGTTAGAGGATTAAATAAGATGACGGCTTACAATTTACAAAATACATCTCTCATGTTTCTCACCAAAAACTATGAAGCTGCTAAGGAAGATAAGGAAATTTAGGTTCAAGAAGTTCAGAAGTACCCAAAGACCACACTATCCTTTAGTGGCAGAATCGAAGCTAAAATCAGTCTTTCCTTATCTATCACACTCCAAAAACGTGCGTTAATATTTGAAATTTATGAGGAAGCAATTAATATTTTTGCTTTTTAAATTTTTTTAAAGTTTTTTTTTGTAGAGATGGGGCTGGTCTTCAACTCCTGGCCTCAAGAGATGATCCTCCTGTCTTGGCGTCCCAAAGTGCTGGGATTACAGGGGCGAGCCATGGTGCCCAGCCAATATTTTTGATTTTCTTAAAGAACCATCTGTTCTAAATTGAGTGTTTATATTTTAATATACTAAGCTTAATTGATAACTATAACCACTGCTTAAATTTACAGCTCTTCCCTGTCAAGACTCTTAAACAGAGCATCTTTCTGTAACTCTAAATCTCTGGTGTACCACCACGGGAAATTTTATTACTCAAAATAAAGCTGGTAATTAAAATAAAAACCAAACTTGAACATGCAAGAACCCACATATTACAAGGTCCATCTTCTATTTTTTTTTTCCTGAACTTAAGCCGAACGTTAAAAAAAAAAAAAGCACTTATCTACGAAATTGTTTGCTCAATCAATCCCACCTTCTATTTGAAATAAAAGACAATGACTAAACTGCACAATTAGAGATAACGGAAGTCAGGCAGCTACAATGAGACGTTCCCTACCGACACAACTATGCATCTAACAACACAGACCAAACAATCCTAACTTTTTAGTTTCAGACGCTAGACCTCTGTCCTCGCCTGCTGGCTTAAGAAACGTGTTCAGACTCTGCGAAAAGCTAAGATAGTTTTAAAGGTCTTCCATATGGGCGGAAGCTGTCGACCGTCTTACAGCAGCAAGGAGCATGGAGTGGCGGTCCGCACAGACCCAGCCAACCAGGCGGTAATGGGAAACCCTAAAAACCGAGGCTGTATCGCAATCACCAAGTAAACCAGAGCAAAGCGAGCCTAAAGGGGGAAACAGCGCAAGAGAGGACGGCAGGAAGACCGGCCTTGTGCGGACCCACTCAGCTCAGGGTTCTGAGGCCTGCAGGGGATCTGGGCAGCGCCTTCGCGGCGGTGACCCCCAAATAGGCTTCAGCAGATGGGGGGAGGGCGAAAGTGAAAGCTGCGGCTCTCAAGGGTTTTTACCCTCCGTTGAAAGCGTAGGGCGAAAATCGTAGCTGCAGAGGTCCCGCAGCTCTGTGCGGCTCCATTCCCAGCTCTCTGCCAGGACCCGAATACATGGCTGTAGAGGACAACATCTCACTGAAGCGCCCGCAACTCCGGCCGCTACTCCTGCTGCCTCACGGCGAGATGGCCGCCCTGACCGGACGTTACGCCACTTCCGGCTTTCCTGTAACTCGCTCCCGGCCTCTCTATCTCGCACTAGTCGTTGCTCCTGGAGGGCTGCTCTGCCGCTAGTCCCTTTCATAGTTGGGTCCTGCCCATTACCAGAAAGATATTAAGGTTTTTGTTTTTTGTTTTTCCCCCGAAGAAAAGATTGGAATTCACCCATATGGACAAAATTTTAAAAGTCTGACCGTGCAAAAATTTGCCAAAACTGTGGAGCAACGGCAACTGGAATAATAGTAACAGCCTAAATTGTCCTGGCTAATACAAAATGTATGTAACATTTCCTATCCTTAAAGAGCTCACAACCTCACTGATAATAGAAAGTCCAAAGGAAACAAGCGGTATAATATATGATTCCGCCAAAACGAACTATAGAAGGTAAAATAAAGGCGTGCTGACGTCCCACTAGGAAACAACTGCGGATCGAGCCTTTGACCACAGTGCCTGAAGCGGCTTGTGTTTTGCTTAGTGTTCCTAGTCATTCTACACGCTTGAAGATCAGCTAGCGTTGTTGCTGACAGGTAAGGAGCACGCGCTTACTGAGTGCCAGGCACTGCTCAGGCATTGACTGTCAGTCTCCAGAGAGCCCAAAGTTAAGCACTAGTATCATCATTATTAAATTTTACAGAAGAAACTGCGGGGAAGAAGTCAGGGAACTTGCCAACGGTAACGCCTCTAGTTGCTTGAAACACACACACCATTTAAAAATTGATCTTTCCTATGCCCAGCAAGGGCCAATTAGAGACAGCGGTGGTGCGCCCGCCCAGTCCCGGAACTCCTCAAGAGCTTCGCCCCTCCTTCCCTTAAACTACACGCCTACGGAAACACAGGAAGTGAGCAAGTGCCCACACTTCGCATGGCCACGACCCCAGTGAGAACAATTCGCTGAAGCCGAGGGCAGAACTGGCGGAAGTGACATTATCAACGCGCGCCTGGAGTTCAGTGGGGTCGGGCAGGGTTCCTGTGGCGGGCGCCTGGGCCGCCGGCTGTTTAACTTCGTTTCCGCGGGCTCATAGTAATTTCTGCAGTGACCCAGGTAACAGCTTGTCCTCTTTTCTGAGGGTTCGGGCGGAGGCGACCACTGCATTGAGGCCTGGGGGCGATGGTGGGGAAGAGACAAGGAATTGGCGCGCGCAGGCCCTGCAGGGGACGTTCCTCCCGCTCGTGCTGCCGCCGTTCCGGCCTGTAACGGCCACTCGGCCGCCGCTTTCGCCTGGTGCCCTATTCCGCTGTGGTTCGCAAGCGGCTTCCCGTCATACGAGCGTGGGGCGCAGGGTACTGGCGGGCTCGGCGGCGGCGGGCGGGACAGGGCAATCCCTTGCATCGAAGACCCGAAGTTTATTCTGCCCTGGCCTGCCACCCGCTTCTTCTCCATGTTTGAAGGCAGATTCACTGTGGTCTGTGCCCGCCTATTTTGCTACCAACATTGAGACTTAAATACTTTGTCAGAAGCCTGAGACAGCGGACACAGTAGCGCTTAAGATACAGTACACATCACTTTGTTTACAGGGCCTCCCATCTCTCGGTTCAGGCCATCATGGTTTTCCAAATCTCTAGGTAGGCTTTTCTGTGAAAAGACTATGCTTCATTTAGATATACAGACACTAGAAGGCTATGCAGAGTTAGATTGCCTCCAAAAAATATCGAATTTGATGTTTCAATTTCGAAGAGATGAAGAGACCCAGCAAACAACCCTTTTCTAGGGAGAAAGTGCAGTAACCACTGTGCGGTTTCTTCTGTAGACTTACGTGCAAAAAGTGATAAGAGCCTACCAATATTTGCCGTCTCATCTCCTGTAGTGACCTATGCAGTCATACTAAGCTTGTCACCTTCATACGGCATGCTTTTTCAATGTTACCTCGTTTATCTGAAGCCCTGACCTGTAAATTCCTATTCACCTTGTGAGACCCAAGTTAGATGGTCCTTGTTTTGTGAAAACACTGCCCCTCTTCATAGTAGTGTGCTGTTAGTCTATATGTCTTCTCTTCCAGGGGCATATATGCACTTATTCATGATCACATACTGTATTCCAGGCATAGTGCTAGATGCAGGGATGACAAAGACTGGTTTCTACATTCAAGAAACTTAGCTGGCCGGGCGCGGTGGCTCACGCCTGTAATCCCAGCACTTTGGGAGGCCGAGGCGGGTGAATCACGAGGTCAAGAGATCGAGACCATCCTGGTCAACATGGTGAAACCCCGTCTCTACTAAAAATACAAAAAGTTAGTTGGGCGTGGTGGCGTGTGTCTGTAATCCCAGCTACTCAGGAGGCTGAGGCAGAAGAATTGCCTGAACCCAGGAGGCAGAGGTTGCGGTGAGCCGAGATCGTGCCATTGCACTCCAGCCTGGGTAACAAGAGCGAAACTCCGTCTCAAAAAAAAAAAAAAAAAAAAAAAAAGAAACTTAGCTTAGGGCACACCTGCTATTATACTATGTTTTATAGTAATGATTTGCATACCCTTTATATTGAACATTTTGATGCCAAGGACTATAACCTCCTAATCTTTACATCCTCATCTGCATCACTTCTGTTATTGTTATTATACGGTAACTGTCAAAAAGTATAATTTTAAAAACATCTCTGATATTTTTATTTTCAGAAGCAGAGTTCGCTTGCTTTCTTTTTTGGCCATTTTTTCAGTGATGAGTAGGTAGGATACAGAGTCTGGGGGCCTTAGCCCTTTCAAAGCGATCCTCAGAATCTTTCATTCCTTCACAAATATCTGAGTGTCTATTGTGTACCAGCACATGCTTGAAGTGCATATGCCTGAAGGGTCTTTGGACATATAATTTGTAACTTTGAGACCTGAAGTTCTGGGTGAGAATATGTTGTTATTATAAACTCATTTCAGATATGGACATGAGTAAAGAGATGATGATTTAAGAAAAGCCAGATAACAGGCACGGTTTGCATTAATGTGTTCTAAAGAGGTAAGGTTATTATTTACAAAAATGCAGGGTTTTATCTTTGTGCAGCTTTTTTTTTTAGTTTTATTATAGTAGGAGCTCAATAACTGATCACTGAAGTATATTTACTTAATTTTTTGCCCAAGACATTATAGAGGATATAAAATTGGAATAAAGATCTGAACTTTGCTTAACTGTGCTGTATATACAGTGCTTAACGAATACTCTGCTGTGATATTACAGTTTGCTTAGGAATTAGTTTCCTCTCAGTATTTTTCCTCAAAAGTTTTTGATGCATCATCATAGTATTTAAATGCGTAACAAAATGACTTTTGTTGGCGATTTTACATGTAATCACAGGAAACATGGAAGGAATAAGACTTCAGGATTATAAAGCAAAAGGCAATGTATTCCAAAATAGCTTCATTGGTTTTCTTGTTTGTGTTTTGTATAGCCATGGAACTGGCTTATAGGACTGTACAGGTTACCTGAATCCTTACATTAAACTTCAGGCTTTTTTCCAAAGCAGCATCACTGTCTCTTGGTGTGTGAAGATAACCCAAGGAATTGAGGAAGTTGCTGAGAAGAGTGTGCTGGAGATGCGCTAGGAAAAAATTGAATGGTGAGACAAGTTCCAGCCCAAGGGTTTCTGGTTTGCCAAGAAGGAAGTGAACATCATGGATCAGAACAACAGCCTGCCACCTTACGCTCAGGGCTTGGCCTCCCCTCAGGTAATACAGCAGGAGGGAGAGAATGAGAACAGGGAGGGCAGAAATATGTACTTCAAGAGATGGTATCAAAGGGAAGGAAGGGTATTTAATGATCTGTTTTTGAAAATGATTTTATATATATTTTTAAGCCTTATTTTGTTGAAACTTTCTATTAGGCTTTGAATTGGCACAATAGTGTTTTATTTGGGGAGTCTGTTTGGAAGCTAAATTAAATATTTGTTAATAAAACATTAATCTTTTGGTAAACACTTATGAGAATGTTCCAAATGATTATATAGGTTCTTTGATTTTGAAAATCACCCTCATCAAATTATTTTCTAGTTTTATTTTTCCCTTTTTACATTTCAAGCTCTCAACCACCCATCTACTTTAATAATTTTTCTGGCTAGGAGTGGTGGCTCACGCCTGTAATTCCAGCACTTTGGGGAGGCCAAGGTGGGCAGATCACCTGAGGTCAGGAGTTCGAGACCAGCCTGTTGATACCCCATCTTTACTAAATATTCAAAAATTAGTCAGGTGTGATGGCGGGTGCCTGTAATCCCAGTTACTCAGGGGGCTAAGGCAAGAAGAATTGCTTAAACCTGGGAGGCGAAGGTTGTAGTGAGCAGTGATCATGCCACTACACTCTAGCCTGGGGAACAGAGCAAGACTCGATCTCAAAAAAAAAAAAAATCAGTAACTTCTGTTCAAATATAATTTGTATACAATAAAAATACTCATTTTAAATGTCAGTTGTTCTGATAATTGTATGTACCTGTGTAAGTTATGGAACATTTCAATTACCTTAGAAAGTCCTTTCTTCCCCTTTATAGTCACTTGGTTGGCCCTAGGCAACTACTGAATCTGCTTTTCAATGCTAAAGATTAGTTTTGTCTATTCTAGAATTTCATATAGATGGAATCATACAGTGTATGCTTTTTTATGTATGTATGAGTTCCTAGCCCAGTATACTGTTTGTATATCAGTAGCTAATCCATTTGTATAGCCAAGTAGCTCTCCGTTGTTTGGATGTTCCACAGATCCATTCTCCAGTTGATCACATTTGAGGTCTTTCCAGTATGGAGCTATTATGAATAAAAGCACTATAAATATTTGTGTAGACTTTGAATTCACTGTGATTTCTCATGGGTAGGTACTTAGGAGTAAGACTGCTAGGTCCTTTATCAGTGTATGTATAACTTTATAAGAAACTGCCAAGCCGTTTTCTGAAGTGGCCATAGTGTTTTGCAGCGTGAGAGAATTTTAGTTGCTCCACATCCTCACCAACACTTTGTGCTGTCAGTCTTTCTACTTTTCCTTTTACTCTAGTGATTGCTTATAGTATTTTACTGTGGTTTTGATTTTTATTTGCCTGATTACTAATGTTCCCGAGCAGCCACTCACACACAGGCCCACCTCACTTTACTGCACTTCACATTATTGCACGTTTGACAAATTGAAGGTTGTGGTAAACCTGTACCCAGTGAGTCTGTTGTTGGCATTATTTTTCTAACATCAATCTTGGTGTTAGATTTTGGTAATTGTTGCAGGATTTCAAACTTTTTCGTTATTATTTCTTATTGTTATCAAACGTTCTCTTTTCTTTTTCTCTTTTTTTTGGCAGACAGAGTTACTCTGTCACCCAGGCTGGAATGCAGTGGTGCAGTCTCAGCTCACTGTAACCTCTACCTCCTGAGTTTAAGTGATTCTTGTGCCTCAGCCTCCCAAGTAGCTGGAATTACAGGCATGCGCCACCACACCCAGCCAAATTTTGTATTTTTAGTGGAGATGGGGTTTCAGTATGTTAGCTAGGCTTGTCTTGAACTACTGGCTGCAAGTGATTCACCCACCTTGCCCTCCCAGAGTGTTGGGATTAATAGACATGAGCCACTGCACCCAGCCAAACCTTTTCATTATTATCTGTTACTGTGATCAGTGATCTTCGATGTAACTATTATAATTGTTTTTGAATGCCATAAACTGCGCCCATATAATACAGGAACTTAATTGACAAATGTCTATGATCTGACCAGCCATTCCCCCATCTCTCCCTCTCCTTGGTCCTCCCTATTCCCTGAGCTACAACAATATGAAAATTAGGCTAATTAATAACCTTACATGACCTTTAATTAAATGTTCAGGTGAATGGAAGAGCTGACATCACTCATTTTAAATCACAAGCTAGAAATGATTATGCTTAGTGAGGAAGGCATATTGAAAGTTGAGATAGGCTGAAAGCTAGGCCTCTTGTGCCAAATAGTTAGCCAAGTTGTGAATGCAAGGGAAAAGTTCTTAAAAGAAATTAAAAGTGCTACTCCAATAAACTCACAAATGATAAGAAAGCAAAACAGCCTTATTGCTTATATTGAGAAAGTGTCAGTAGTCTGGATTGAAGATCATACCACCCACAATATTCTCTTAAGCCAGTGTAATCCTGAGCAAGGCCTTAACTCTCTTCAGTTCTGTAAGGGCTGAGAGAGGAGAGGAAGCTGTAGAAGAAAATTTTGAAGCTAGCAGAGGTTTATTCATGAGCTTTAAGGAAAGAAGCCCTCTCTACAACAAACATAAAAATGCAACATGAAGCAGCAAGTTATATGGAAGAACTAGCTGAGATAATTGATGCAGGTGACGATACTAAGTAACAGATTTTTAATGTAGATGAAACAACCTTCTACTGGAAGAAGATGCTATCTAGGACTTCTGTAGCTAGAGAGAAGAAATCAATGCTTAGCTTCAAAGCTTCAGAGATTGGCTGACTGTAGTTAGGAGCTAATGCAGCTGGTGACTTTAAGTTGAGGCCAGTGCTCTTTACCATTCTAAACTCATAGGGCTCTTAAAAATTATGCTGTATCTACTCTGCCTGTTCTCAGTAAATAAAACAACAAAATCTGATGACAGCACGTCTGTTTACAGCATAGTTTACTGAATGTTTTAAGCTCATTAAGACTTACTGCTCAGAAAAAAAGATTCATTTCAAAATATTATTACTAACTAACATGTAACTGGTTGTTCATAAGCTCTGATAGAGAAGAACAAGGGATTAATATTGTTTTCATGCCTGCTTAAATAATATATCCATTCTGTAGCCCATGGATCAAGGAGTAATTTCAACTTTCAATTCTTACTATTTAAGAAATACAGCCGGGCATGGTGGCTTATGCTTGTAATCTCAGTACTTTGGGAAGTACAAGGATCCTTCCCAAAGGAAGGATCGCTTGAAGCCAGGAGTTCAAGACCAACCTGGGTAACAAAGCAAGTCCCTAGAGAAAAAACTTAAAATTAGCTGCTCATGGAGGCATGCCCCTGTAAACCCAGCTACCTAGAAGGCTGAGGCAGGAGGATCACTGGAGCCCAGAAGTTAAAGGCCACGATGAGCTGTCATCACACCACTGTACTCTGGCCTGGGAAACAGTGAGACCCTGTCTCAAAGAAAGGAAGTGGGGAGCGAGGGGCATATGCTGTAGCTGCCAGAGATAGTGATTCCTCTGATGGATCTGGGCAAAGTGAATTGAAAACCTTCTGGAAAATATCCACCATTCTACGTGCCATTAAGAACATTCGTGATTCACAGGAGGAGATCAAAATATCAACATGAATAGAAGTTTGGAAGAAGTTTATGCCATTCCTTGTGGATGACTTTGAGAGGTTCTGGACTTATAGTGCTAGAAGTTACTGCAACTGTGGTGGAAATAGCAAGTGAAATAAAATTAGAAGCGGATCCTGAAGAAGTGACTGAATTGCTGCAATGTTTTGATAAAACCTGAACAGAGGAGGAGTTGCTTCTTGTGGATGAGAAGAGAAAGTGGTTTCTTGAGATGGAATTGACTCCTGGTGAAGAGGCTGTGAGCATTGTTGAACTGCTGACAAAGGATTTAGAATATTACATAAACTTAGTTGATAAAGCAGCAGCAGGTATGAGAGGATTGACTCCAACTTTGAAATAAGTTCTAGTGTGGGTAAAATGCTGTCAAACAGCATCGTATGCTACAGAGACATCTTTAGTGAAAGGAAGAATCTGTGGCAAACGTCATCAGTCTTATTTTAAGAAATTGCCACAGCTACCACCCTGATCAGTCAACAGCCATCAACACTGAAGCAAGACCCTCTGTTAGCAAAATGATTATGACTTGCTAGAGGCTCACCTGATCGTTAGCATTTTTAGCAATACAGCATTTTTAAATTAAAGTATATACATATTTTTAGACATAATGCTATTGCACACTTAATAGACTACAATATGGTATAAACATAACTTTTAAAGACACTGTGAAACCAAAAACTTCATACTGCTTGCTTTATTGAGATGGTCTGGAACCTAAACCGTAGTATCTCTAAGGTATGCCTGTATCTTCATTTGTAATATGTCCTTCACATTTTTTGCCCTTCTTAATTATTTGTTGATCTTCTTTTATGGAGTTGTCGGAGCTCTTTATTATTCTGTTTACCAGACCTTTCTCAGATGTATGTGTTTCAGGTATTTTTTTTCCCAGTCTGTGGCCCGCCTTTTAATTTTCTCAGTGGTGTCTTTCAAAGAACAGAAGTTTTTAATTTTCCAAAGCTCAGTTTATCAATTTTTCTTCATGTTTATCCACTATGGGATATTAAAGAAGAAAGCAATGTGTTTAAGAATAGCAGGTTCTTCCCTAATTAATGTCTAACAACCCCATTATTCTCAGAAGGCATCTGCCTTTGCACATCTCACCTGCTGTTCTACCAGGAAAGTTCCACCAACACTTAGCACCAGCTAGCCTAACCTGTTTTTCTCCCTGCTTTCCACAGGGTGCCATGACTCCTGGAATCCCTATCTTTAGTCCAATGATGCCTTATGGCACTGGACTGACCCCACAGCCTATTCAGAACACCAATAGTCTGTCTATTTTGGAAGAGCAACAAAGGCAGCAGCAGCAGCAACAGCAGCAGCAGCAGCAGCAGCAGCAGCAGCAGCAGCAGCAACAACAGCAGCAACAGCAGCAGGCAGTGGCAGCCGCAGCCGTTCAGCAGTCAACATCCCAGCAGGCAACGTCCCAGCAGGCGACACAGGGAACCTCAGGCCAGGCACCACAGCTCTTCCACTCACAGACTCTCACAACTGCACCCTTGCCAGGCACCACTCCACTGTATCCCTCCCCCATGACCCCCATGACGCCCATCACTCCTGCCACACCGGCTTCTGAGAGCTCTGGGATTGTACCGCAGCTGCAGTGAGTACTTGCTGTTTTATATGTCCTCCCCCTTAGGAGTCCCTTTGAGCTGTGTTCCTGCTCTGTTTTTAGATGCATCCTTCTATTAAGGGAGTGGCACTGATGGCGACTGTGTATCAAATTGCCTTATCTCACACTTGGGAAAGGGAGCAAAGCTGTCTTAGTGCCCTCAGTGAAAGGCTCTCTTAACAGGTTCAGAAATGTGGTCATTTGTGTTTATATACTTGAAACAACAAAATTTAATCTGAATTCCACTGTTATTATTATAGACATTTCCCTGTATCTGATATCGCTGAATCACAGTGTTGTGATTTAGCTTGTGATTTATATCTTCAAAGATATAAATCTTTGAAGGCCTGTGTCCTTCCCACAAAGTGAGAATGACTGTTCTTGTCCTAAATGGATTTTTCTACCTAAATGAAGTGGGTTCTATATGTAACAGGGTACTTGGGGTAGGAAATATTTCATCTTCCTGAAAAACCAAGCAAGTATTTCCAAATAATCCCAGTCAATAAGAAGTGTATACCTTTTCATTTTAGAAAGCTTATGACCAAATGAAAAGGTTACTTGCAGTCTCTGCATCTCCTCAGTTTTCTTGTACAGATACCTCCCTCCTTCTTACTCCCTTTAGATCTAGTATTTCCTGTCTGCATGTGTTCATCTTGTTACACGCATGGTTGTAACATCCCCACTTCCTTTCTTTGAGACGGTCTCACTGTTTCCCAGGCCAGAGTACAGTGGTGTGATAACAGCCCATCGTGGCCTTTAACTTATAAGCTATCTCTGATCATTTTTGGAACTAAGTGGTGTGTAATTGTGGATGCTAACTTTCACCCAAAGACCTAAATCTTTCCTCCACAATTTTGTTTGAACCCATGCACAATTTTAAAAATAATTTTAGTGATTTTAGAGAGAGCCTTGTTAGCTCACCCTTGTCTACACCACTCCCATGTGTCCAGCATGCCTGTCTGACTCCCAGGGATGTTTAAGTTTGCATTTCTGATTTAAATCATAAACAGTCCAGTCAGGTGTTTGTTTCTTACCAGTGCCTTTGTCCTGACACTCTATAGAGCATCCAGTCATCCACATTCCTGAATTTCCACTATCTACTAAGAGCCCTACTAGTTTGTAATTCAGTGCCCTCTAAATCTTGTAGGCTTAAAGGAATTAAGGTAATTATTAAATTATTGAAAATATATGAGAATACATTCAACAACTATGTGACTAAAATCTACTTGATATAGTTCATAAGTGAACAAACACTAAAGGCAGGTGTGTATACAAAGGTGATTCGAAGGAAAGAGATGATACAGAAATGAAAACATTGTGTTGATCACCCTAATTGGCTTTACAGTTGTGTATCTTAGATTGCCATTCTCTGTTGAACAAAATTATGAGCCATCAAGTTTTCACAAGTATTGCATTTTGAGAGTACAAGAAAAAGAACCAGAAGCAACAGTGAGCTATTTGAACCCTATGCATTTGAAATCTGGAATCAATATTCTTGGGATGGTGATTTCCAGGTCTATGCAAGACAGTTTTTGAGCAGCTGATACATTCAGAGGGCATTGCCCATTTCAAGTATATATACTTTCATAAGCAGAAAAATGTATAATGAAAATAGGAGTTTGTTGTTTAAATTTTTATTAAAATTTCTAATAAAGTTACTTTTTAGTATATCTTTATCCTTATGTAATTATCCACTAATTTATTGAAGAACACTGAAAAATGAAAAGGGTCAGTGGACACAAATGGCTGTATTTACCCTTATTTACTGAGAGTTCCTTAGAGGAGAAAGCAGGGTTTTGCTTTTTTGTTTTCTGAAAACACTTAGCTCTTGTTTTTCCAAAAGATACTTACTTTGAGAGAACTGAGGCAGTTCATGCCTGTTTATCTTCAATATAAATACTGACTTCTTTTAGGAATAGGGTGGTAGTGGTGGCTTTTCAGAGCTCACAGGTGACAGTTGAGTTTGTCTATGAGGAGGCCAAGGGCGTGGCTCTGGAAACAGATTCAAATCCTGGCTCCACGGTTTGGGAGCCATGTGCATCCTGAGCAAGTTGTACTCCCTTTAAGCCTCAGCTTATTTATCTGCATGTGGGAATACTAGTAACTTCCTCAGTGTATTGTAAGTATTAAGCGGAGTAATCTATATAAAATGCTCAACATGTATGTGATACATGTTAAACACTTAATAAATGTGAGCAGTTTAAAAAAATTAAAGCCTGGTTGAAATAATCAGATGTCTATGTAATATCTAACATCTCATCCTGTGAAAGTTCAGTAATTTAAATAGTCATGTTTTCTTTTTAAATTTCTTACAGAAATATTGTATCCACAGTGAATCTTGGTTGTAAACTTGACCTAAAGACCATTGCACTTCGTGCCCGAAATGCCGAATATAATCCCAAGGTTAGATCTATTTTAATGTATTTTGTTTTTTTTTTTTTTGTCTTCTCTGCCGTGTCTCTATATTTTTAATATAGCTCATGCTATGTAACAAATGTCTGTAGATCAGGCCAGGCACAGTGGTTCATGCCTGTAATCCCAGCACTTTGGGAGGCCAAGGAAAGAGAATTGCTTGAGCCTAGGAGTTCAAGACCAGCCCAGGCAACATGGCGAGACACTGTCTCTTAAAAAAAAATTTTTTTTGGCTGGGCTTGGTGGCTCACGGCTGTAATCCCAGTACTTTGGGAGGCTGAGGTGGGCAGATCACCTGAGGTTAGGAGTTCAAGACCAGCCTGGCCAACATGGTGAAACCCTGTCTCTACTAAAGATACAAAAATTAGCTGGGCGTGGTGGCCTGTGCCTGTAATCCCAGCTATTCAGGAGGCTGAGGCATGAGAATCGCTTGAACCTAGGAGGCAGAGGTTGCAGTGAGTGGAGATCATGCTATTGCATTCCACCCTGGGTGACAGAATGAGACTCTGTCTCAAAAACAAAAATCTGTGTATCAAAGATTGTGTTATGCTTGTTTCTTGACACCAACAAAATGAAGATCTAAAGTGAAATGTGCATTGTTTTATATCTTGGATATTTAGTGAATAGAACAAGTTCATCTCATATTAGGAGAATTTATAATGATTTATAAGAATCCTTGGGAATATAGCAGTCTATGAAATAAGCTAAGTTATATATATACACGTGTATATATATATAACTTAGCTTATTTCATAGACTGCTATATTCCCAAGGATTCTTATATATATAGTATCTGGATCATGTAAAGAATTTTGTATATGTATAGGGATGGTGTTTGCTGGCTATAGTAGATAAAGTAATTTGGGTAAACATTAGCTGGACTGAGAGAAATGTTAAGTAATGAACTTAGGGTGCATTTTTAAATCCCTGAAATGTAACGTCTAAGATCTCAAAGATAGCTAAGGGTCTGAAAATCACCTTTTAACCACTCATAGTGAGTCTGTATGACATGTGGCATTCAAAGAATTAATATTTTATCTATTATAACTGTATTTAGTTGAATACATCATTTTATGACTTTATGATCTTTAGTGAAGTGATATTAGTTATTTAACAAATAAAAATAATAGAGGAGCTGTCATACCTGTAATCCCAGCACTTTGGGAGGCCGGGATGGATAGATCACAAGGTCAGAAGATGGAGACCATCTGGCTAACATGGTGAAACGCTGTCTCTACTAAAAATATAAAAAATTAGCCAGGCGAGGTGGCACGTGTAGTCCCAGCTACTCGGGAGGCTGAGGCAGGAGAATTGCTTGAACCTGGGAGGCATACATTGTAGTGAGCCCAGGTCGCACCACTGCACTCCAGCCTGGGTCACAGAGCAAGACTCCGTGTAACAACAACAAAATATATATATATGTGTATATATATATATATATATATATATATGTATGTGTGTGTGTGTGTGTGTGTGTGTATATATATGTGTATGTATATATAGTAGAGGAAATTCCGGAAATTCAAAATAGCTAGGCTTTTCCTGCGACTTATGTAAACTGCAATATACTGCTAGCATTTTTAGATGTTGATAATGTCACAGGGAAGACATAGAGCAATTTTTCTTTTTTTTTTTGAGATGGAGTCTCGCTCTGTCACCCAAACTGGAGTGCAGTGACACAATCTCAGCTCACTACAACTTCCACCTCCTGGGTTCAAGCAATCCTCCTCCCTCAGCCTCCTGAGTAGCTGGGATTACAGGTATCTACCACCATGCCCAGCTAATTTTTTGTATTTTAGTAGAGATGGGGTTTCACTGTGTTGCCTAGGCTGGCCCCGAACTCCTGACCTCATGATCCACCTGCCTCAGCCTCCCAGAGTGCTGGGATTACAGGCGTGAGCCACTGTGCCCAGCCGACTTAGAGCAGTTTTTAAACTAAAATTGTTAAACGCTGGGCATGGTGGCTCAGACCTGTAATCCCAGCACTTTGCAAGGTCAAGTTGGAAGGACTGCTTGAGGCTGAGAGTTCAAGATGAGCCTGGGCAACATAGTTAAGAGCTCGTTTCATTAGAAAATTCAAAAAATTATCTGGGGTTGGTGGCACACACCTGTAGTCCCGTCTTGGGAGGCCAAGACGGGGGGATCTCTTGAGCTCAGGAGTTCAAGGTTGTAGTGAGCCATGATTGCACCACTGCACTCTAGTCTGGGCAACAAAGTGAGACTCTGTCTCTAAAAAAAATAATAAAATTGTTAAAGCAATCTAGTTTGTTAAAAGAGTCATCTTAATTAGAAATATATAGGTTTTATTGTATAATTAAATATTATGTATTAAATAATTTATTTCAAAGTAATTATTTGCTTTTGATCATGTACCTAATAACTGAGGCCATTAATTCAACCCACAGTTGAAATATTTTCCCCTTAAGTTACTATCTTAGTTCTCAAAGAATTAACATGTTTCAAGCATAAAAAGCAGAAAATAAAAGTTAAAACTGGTTTTCTCCCAATTTGAATTTGTATGTGTTTAACACACTAATATAGTTTCTAAAGACCAATTGGAAGCAGGATTTTACTTCATTACATATTGATATGCTTGTAATATGATTTATTCCATTAAGGTTTGGTTTATTTGCCTCAAAATCCATATTAATAAAACAAAAGTTATTGTTAGAGAAGCTATAGTCATTATAAGCAGCAAATATAAAGTAGAAACAGAGGCACTGGTATTTATTGAAAACATAACCACATTTTGCAAACATTATTTCTTTTGCTGGAATGCTCACGTGAAAGAACACACAGATCTTGGTATAACTTACTTATTAGTCACAATTGACTGTTTTCTGTTCCTTATGCAAAGGAATATTTGTTATGTGTGATGGTATGCAAATCCTTTACAGATAGACAGAAATACAGGGCAGATATTTTGATAACTTGATGTACTATGTCCTTCTAGTTGTGATTTGTCAATGTGTATGTAGTTCTCCTAACAAAATTAAGCAGTTTGGCATGACCTTAGTAATGATTCTCTCTGACCATTTTAGCGGTTTGCTGCTGTAATCATGAGGATAAGAGAGCCACGAACCACGGCACTAATTTTCAGTTCTGGGAAAATGGTGTGCACAGGAGCCAAGAGGTAGCCGTAAGAAATTCATTCTTCTAGTCTGTGGGTTATGAACGAAAAGGTGATATCTCATTGTTTTTAGGTTATAGGTTAGTGCTTTAACATGTTATTATTGCTTTCTTATTAAAATGGTTGATTGTAATAATTTTAGATAGCAGTGATTTCATTTTCTTAAAAATTAGATATGGGCCAGGCATGGTGTCTCACACCTGTAATCCCAGGAGGCTGAGGCGGGCAGATCACTTGAGGCCAGGAGTTTGAGACCAGCCAGACCAACATGGTGAAATGCCATCTCTACTAAAAATACAAAAATTAGCCAGGCCTGGTAGTATATGCCTGAAATTCCAGCTACTTGGGAGGCTGAGGCACAAGAATCTCTTAAATCTGGGAGGCAGAGGTTGCAGTGAGCTGAGATCACACCATTGCACTCCAGCATGGGAGACAGAGCAAGACTCTGTTTCCAGAAAAAGAAAAAAAATTAGGTATGATATAATATAATATCTCAACTATTAATAAAGTTCCCTTTATGTAAAAAATGTTGTACTTCTTGAAATGGAAGAAAAAGTTGATCAAGAATTAGAACATTTCAAAGCTAATGGTCTATGGTCTTTGCAGACTTTATTGGGCCTGACAGCGTGACAGCACCACGTATTTTGGCCACAGAAACCTGCCGTCTCACTGGAACTAGCTTTCATTATGAGTGTTTGAGTTGTGCAGATCTTAAGGAATACATCCCTCTTATAAAATGTCATTGCCTATATTCTGTATCCGAAGTGATCCTGTCTGAAAGTTAGTGCTCTGGGGCCTTCACTGTTCTAAACGGAGCTCATATACCTGGTAGAAGTCAAAAACTGGGGGGATAATTAGTGACATTAGCTTCATAAATGAACTGAACAAATAAACTAAAACTTTTTGGCAGGGCGTGGTGGCTCATGCCTGTAATCCCAACACTTTGGGAGTCTGAGTTGGGTGGATCACCTGAGGTCACGAGTTCAAGACTAGCCTGATCAACATAGTGAAACCCTGTCTCTACTAAAAATACAAAAAATTAGCCAGGAATGGTGGTGGGTGCCTGTAATCCCAGCTACACAGGAGGCTGAGGCAGGAGAATCACCTGAACCCAGGAGGCGGAGGGTGCAGTAAGCCGAGATTGTGCTACTGCACTCCAGCCTGGGCAACAGAGCGAGACTCTGTGTCAAAAAAAAAAAAAAACTTTTTAAGTGAAAGAGTATTAAAATGTACTTGGAGGTATCAACACATAGAAGGGGGTTGTGGACACTTGCTTTTTCTGAAGTTTAAAATTGTCTTTCAGTGAAGGGGATGCCATTGGCATGGACATTCAGGCTCCTGGTCTCCGAGTTTTTTCAGAAGGCAGGACAAGAATCTGTCTTTGCCTTTCACTTCCCCTTGGCCACAACATGCAGGAGTAACCTCTTTAATTAGGAGCCTTTTTGTTTGCTTGTTTCCCCCTGCATGGAATAGCAGAAACTTGGTTTATCGCGGCAGGCTTTTCGTGCAGCATTAGCCCTTTTTGTCCCAGAGCATCTGAAAAACAATACTGTGTATCTAGTTGGATGACTATTTCATCAAGGCAAGAAACCACCAATAAATTTACCTGAAAATTAAAAAGCACAGCATATATATATATATATATATATATATGCTTAATTTTTGTTTATGCCAATATTTTCACATTCTGCTTTTCCTTCTCCCCTCCCCTGCCCCGCCCCCCCCTCCCGTTCCCTTCCCCCTTCCCCCTTCCCCCTTTTCTTTTTTTTTTTTTTGAGGTGGAGTCACCAAGGCTGGAGTGCAGTGGCACAGTCTTGGCTCACTGCAACCTCTACCTTCCAGGTTCAAGTGATTCTACTGCTTAACCCTCTCAAGTAGCTGGGATTATAGGTGCACGCCACCATGCCTGGCTAATTTTTGTATTTTTAGTAGAGATGGGTTTCACCATGTTGGCCAGGCTGGTCTCGAACTCCTGACCTCAGGTGATCTACCTGCCTTGGCCTTCCAAAGTGCTGGGATTACAGGTGTGAACCAGCATGCCTGGCCCACATTCTGCTTTTCTTATGTAAGCTCTGAACTACTAAGTAATAGTTTTATTCAACAAATGACATCATAGGAATGTTTATGATGAGTCTTGGTATAAAAGAGGATAGAATTAGTGAATACATTGTTCAATAATAAATCTCATCTACATTTAATGATCAAAATGAAGCTTGTTAGTTTTTCTCTCAGTAGAAATGCATGGGCTAAAATATAAAAATAGTGATGATTGATGATGATGATAGAATTCATGTCCATAAAATCTAGGAGTAATTTTGCAGTAATTTGGTGAATTGAAAGTGTGATCATTTTGGCAGGCCTGTCAAGGACCTTTTCTGTCAAGGACCCAGGAACACTTCATAAGGAAAGTGTGAATGTCTGCCAGTCTTTTCTCCTGTTGCAAGGGGGCTGACCGCTTTACACTTTATTAGTTTCCTGTTTTGGACTTTTTATAAGTTATCAGTCTAAATAATTATTTTAGCTGGCTCTGAGTATGAATAACTCATTTTTTCCTTTCCCTAGTGAAGAACAGTCTAGACTGGCAGCAAGAAAATACGCTAGAGTTGTACAGAAGTTGGGTTTTCCAGCTAAGTTCTTGGACTTCAAGATTCAGAACATGGTGGGGAGCTGTGATGTGAAGTTCCCTATAAGGTTAGAAGGCCTTGTGCTCACCCACCAACAGTTTAGTAGGTAAGCGTGAAATGTACTATGATTGCTTTTGGCACCAGTTCATTTATAATCTAAGCATTGTTCAGAATAAAACAAATGCAAAATATTCAGTATGTGAGAACAGTTGGCATGGTTATAGTTGTCTGTATTCTTGCAGTGTCTTCCCGATGTTCTCAGTGATACGTATCACCCTCACCAGCCTTCTGCCTCCCTTATCACTTAGTGGTACCTATAACTCCCCTTTACTGAAGTGAATTTGATTCTGCTTCTGTATGTTTCATCGTTTTATTGCCAAAAACACTTGGAATGCATGATTGAACCTAACCTCTTGTATCAATTTTTTTTCCCAGTTTGGATCTTATCTTTTAGTCAACAGTGTATCAGATCTACCACTAAAGTGTGAAGTTGAGCCATAGGAACAACTTTCTAATTATCTTCCTGCTACTTACAGATGAAGACTCACAGGCAGGCAGCCCTGCCCACCTCACAGCCTCATTTCACAGTCTTCTGGAGTCTGTTCATGGGCACACTAGTTCTCTGAGCCCCTCTGGCTCACTTGGTTCCTCCTGCCCTCCGCCTTTGCACGTGCCACTTTTATGCCTAGCACATTCATTTCCCTTTTCACCTAGAAAGCTCCCACTTGAGTTCCATATATCTACCCATTCCACTCTCCCTTAGAGAAGCCTGTCTTAAATTTTCTCTTAGGTCAGACACACAGACACAGAGAGGCATCCTGTTTTCAGTCTCTCCGAACTAAGATAAATTAGATTACTAGGCTTAGAAGAATATGCACCAGGCCTGGCGTGGTGGCTCACACCTGTAATCCCAGCACTTTGGGAGGCCAAGGTAGGCAGATCACTTGAGGTCAGGAGTTCAAGAGCAGCCTGGCCAACATGGTGAAACCTGTGTCTACTGAAAATACAAAATTAGCTGGACGTGGTGGTACACACCTGTAATCCCAGCTACACGGGAGGTTAAAGCAGGAGAATCACTTAAAACTAGGAGGAGATTCTTAATTCTTATAATTCTTAATATATATACCCCCACACACACCAATAGTCCATTCAGTCAGACAGCTTAATCAGGTATAAGTTAATTCACAGACTAGTATATCACTTTGGTTAAATTTCCTGACCACAGTTAACAGCTAGAGAATATTTCAATTTAAGGAGGTGAGATATGATTAACAGTTAAACTGTCAGTATCAGATCTTAGAAGTAAATGATTATTAGGACTGTAAAAGTAAATGATTGTCATCAGAGACTGCAGACATAAATACAGGGCTCTTTTTCTTAAATCAGAAAATCCAGATTGAATAGAAATAGAGTAAAGTATAAAAGGACAAATAGCCTCCCATCCAGTGGTTATCAAGTGATGACTGCAAGTTGGCCTCAGTGGCTTTAATTATTCTGTCCTTGATGTTGCTTGAAGAACTGTGCTTTACCTATTGACTAGTTTGTTTGTTTATTCAGTTATTTTTCCTTGTACAGGTCCTCATTTTATCTAAAAGCATGGAAGTCTCTTAATTTCTAAACTGTTTTCACAATTTTCCTTCCAGTTATGAGCCTGAGTTATTTCCTGGTTTAATCTACAGAATGATCAAACCCAGAATTGTTCTTCTTATTTTTGTTTCTGGAAAAGTTGTATTAACAGGTAAGTTGTAACAGAAAGTGGTATCTGAATGTTTGTAAGTTATGGCATTTTGTCAGTGCTGAAAATAAATTTCCCTGTTGGCACAGTGGGCTAGCTTCTTTTACAAAGGCCTCCCACCCAAAGTCTGATGAGAAACATGCCCACTAGAGCCACATTGAGAGCAGGGAAGTCTGACCACAGCCCTGCAAGTAGACTTCATTTACAGCGGGAGGTGAGCACTGTATTGAATAAAAGATGGCGTTTTCACTTGGAATTAGTTATCTGAAGCTTTAGGATTCTTCAGCAATATGATGACAAGACAAGAAAGGAAGATTCAGAAAAGAGCTTAGTTGAAGACAGCAATTGGGAGAATAAGATTTGGTTGTTTTCATTGCTGTTCTGCTTGGTTTATGGCCTGGTTCAGGACCAAGGAGAGAAGTATGAGGACATGCCTCTTGAGCTATAGAATGAGACACTAGAGTCACTAAAATGACTGTTTAAAAGTACTGTTTTATAAACCAAAATAAGATTGTGACAGGCGATTCCACCATTAGTGGTTTCATGCCTGTGCCTGAATCTGACTGGGTATGTTGAGATTTGTGCTTGCAGCGTTGTTTAAAGGTAATAATTTTCCCTGCTTAATATGTTAAGAAATGCCATTTCAGTCTCTTATCTCTACTCCAACTTGTCTTCTTAGGTGCTAAAGTCAGAGCAGAAATTTATGAAGCATTTGAAAACATCTACCCTATTCTAAAGGGGTTCAGGAAAACGACGTAATGGTTGTCATCTACCCTTACCTCCCCCACCCACTTGTTTTTTTAAAACAAATCAGTTTGTTTTGGTACCTTTACATGGTGGTGGTGTGAGGAGATGGATGCTGAGTTGCAGGTTGTGGCACCAGGTGATGCCCTTCTGTAAGTGCCCACCACGGGATGCCGGGAAGGGGCATTATTTGTGCACTGAGAACACCGCGCAGCATGACTGTGAGTCGCTCATACTGTGCTGCTATTTGGGCAGCGCTGCCCATTTATTTATACATAGATTTTAAACACTGCTGTTGACAGTTGGTTTGAGGGACAAAACTTTTAAGGTTAAAGCCACCTCTACAATTGATTGGACTTTTTAATTTTAATGTTTTTCCCCATGAACCACAGTTTTTATATTTCTACCAGAAAAGTAAAAATCTTTTTAAAAAGTGTTGTTTTCTAATTTATAACTCCTAGGGGTTATTTCTGTGCCAGACACATTCCGCCTCTCCAGTATTGCAGGACAGAATACATGTGTTAATGAAAATGAATGGCTGTACATATTTTTTCTTCCTTCAGAGTACTCTGTACAATAAATGCAGTTTATGAAAGTGTTAGATTGCTGTTATGATACCTTGTAAGAGTCATGTGATCACACTGTTTTCTAAAAAGTTGTATTTTAGATATAACATCTGAAGCCATTTTGGTGTTTGCTTGTTTGTTTGAGTCAATATTTCATTGTATGCTGCAATGAAAACACAGTAATGATCTAAGAACTCACAGTTGCTCAGGAAATGTGTATTTACTGCCTTCCATATTTTGAGCAACTGTTGTTTTCTAGGTACTTTGCATACAGTGCCGGGAATCCTCACAAAGCTGCAGTTAGGTTTTGTTCCTGTATTAGAGGTGAGGAGATACAGGCCCCAGCTGAGGGACCTGGCTGAAGTTACACAGCTAGTAAGTGGTACAGATGGGCTCTGAGTGAGTCCTTCAGGTGTGGAAGCTGCTGTCCTATCCACAGGTTGCCATCTCTCTGCAGTAACAGTTTGTTTTTGTTTTTTTTCTCATGGAATATCAGGTGGACATGTGTGGGTTCTTAGGTTTTATTGTTAGGGTGGTTTGTTTTTTTTCTTTTTAACTGTAAAAGTCCATCTTCACACAACTCAGGAATAAAATGAGGGAAGTCCTTCCTTTCCTTCTCCTCTGCCTGTTTCCCTAGGATAGCGACCAGATTAGTGGGTATCTTCTAAGCCCTGTTCTGTGCAAATTTTGTTTTCTGGGCATGGCGTTTGATCCCATTTTTGGAAAAAAAATATAAAGGAATCCATTCAATTTTACAGCTTTCCCTTTTTTCCATCAATATATCATAAACCTACTTCCATGACTGGGAATCTAGTACCTTCAGTTACTGAGCTCTTCCTTTAATTATGGTCACTTACAAGACCTCCAGTTTTTCAGTATCGTAAACAGTGCTGCAGGGAACATCCTTGTATGTGTGCTTTTTGGATAAGTGCAGGTATTCATAAAGGAAACTTTCCTAGAAGAGGAACTAAAGACTCTACATTCTGAGTTTTAATTGATTGATAGCAGATTGTAGTCCAAAGAGAACGGTGTATGAAGTGCCCTTTTCTTGCATTTCCCAATCATTACTGATGCCACTAATGTATGGATTAATTGGAAAGACATCATTTCAATATTATTTCCTATTCAAGAGAGAAGTATCTCTTCAATGTATGGAGGTCTTATATTCCTCAGTAAAGTTTTATAATTCTTTTCACACAGGCTTTTATATTTCATAAGTGTTAATTCCTTAATTCGCAAGTATAATATTATCGTTTCTGTTGTTTTATTAATGGAAATTTTTCATAACACTTCAAAATTTATTGTTGGTATATTTTTCTTATTCCAAGTTTATTGACCTCCTATTACTGCTGTTGATTGATTGATTGATTGATTTTTTGAGACAGAGTCTTGCTCCGTTGCCAGGTGCCAGGCTGGAATGCAGTGGCGCAATCTCAGCTCACTGCAGCCTCCGCCTCCTGGGTTCAAGCCTCCTGGATTCAAGGAATTCTTCTGCCTCAGCTTCCTGAGTAGCTGGGACTGCAGGCACATGCCACCACGCCCAGCTAATTTTTGTATTTTTAATAGAGACAGGGTTTTACCATCTTGGCCAGGATGGTCTCGATCTCTTGACCTCATGATCCACCCACCTCGGCCTCCCAAAGTGCTGTGATTACATGATTTAGTTGATTGCATTGAAAGTTCTAGGCATGTAGTCATTTGCAAATGGTAATTTTATGTTTTCCTTTCCAATATTTTTCCTATCAGTGGTGAGGACTTTAATGTACATAACTTAAAAAAAAATGTTCTCTTACAGTTACAGACACATACACGGGAACCTAACAAATGTATAGCATAATGTATTATTTAAAGGCAGACACTCCTGCAGCTACCACCCAGGTCAAGAAACAGAATTTTTGCTGCCTGTCCTATCCAGCCACACACTCCTGGCTTCCCTCAAGTAGGAACTATTATCCTGACTCTTATGCATTTAAAGATAATTAAAGTTCTTTGTCCATTTCTTTCCAATTTATAGGCCATTTAGTATGTAGAGCTTCTCATAGTCTGGGGGTTTGCTAGTTGGAAATTCATGGTGTAGTTTCTCTGTTCTCTGTATTTCCTGCAAATTGGCATCTGCTGCATAATTCCTACATCTATTAATTCATTAATGGGTTGCAAAATGACATGTCAGTTATTTCATTTGTTTTTCATTTAGTAACTAGAATACTTTTATAAAGTGTTGTACTCCACATAGCAGGATAAATACGTGCTGCTTTTCCTTTTTAACTTTGCAAGATAAAACATGAGTTCATATTAATATGTCCAATTCACATTCAAAACTTATAGGGCTTTTACTTAACCAATTCTCTATTATATATACACCCTTCTTCTACACTGAGAATCTTTAATTCTTAAAGACATAGGGAATGATGAAGTAGAATACCTCATAATTACTCATTTACTTTATGTGTATTTATCATTACTTTATCTGTTATTTGTGCAATATTTTTTGAGACACAGTCTTGCTCTGTTGCCCGGACTGCAGTACAGTGGCACAGCCATGGCTTGCTGCAGTCTCAAACTCCTGGGCTCAAGTGATCCACCTTAGCCCCCCATGTACACCAGCCAACACATCCAGCTAATTTTTCTTTTTTTACTTTTTGTAGAAACAAGGTCGCTAAACTGTTGCCCAGGCTGGCCTTGAACTCCTAGACTCACACCATCATCCCACCTCCACCATAGCATTCTTAAGAGTAACAAAAATACTATCATCAATATGATTGCCAAAAATACTTTTTTTGTGTGATATCTAAAATAAGGCTACTGTCTACAGCAGAGGAGTGCTGCTGTGGCTGGACAGAATCTGAAGTAAGCAGATCTTAAACCTTTGTAGGTGTTGAGAAATGGTAGATGCATGGACTGGCACCATCTATCGAGCCATGATTATTATGTAGGTGAGACTTGGTCATTATCTTGTGGTGTTTTAAAATGTCTTCACATTTCTAGAGGCAGCTTGCTTAATGCATTTTTAAAAATTTTTTATGTTTAATATAGTTGCATTTTTTAACACAGATGCCAAGTTGGTGCTGTGACATTTTCTTTATGTTGATTTGGACCAGTCTGTCTCCCTCTTGATATACCTGTTCCTGGAATGGCCCTGTCAACTTTTATGATCATCTCCAGAAGTTGACTGGAATATATATCAATGACAGCCTGGCTGGGTACCTATCATGTGGTGCTCTCCCCAAATAACAGTTTTTACCATAGAAGACTCTTAACATGTTTGCTTTCAAAGCCCTCAGCAGTCATAACTTACACATTCCACCTATGATGAATAAGACATAATTTTAGATACGAAGGCCCCACTAGTCCAGGTTTCCTTATACCACTGTGCTTCCTACCAAGTGCCGTGACCAACTCTTGTCACAAGTTGCTGATGACAACTTACTCCAATAACCACAGACTGACACCATCGTTATAGGTGATTCTCATTGATTTAGCCAGTCCAGGTTTGAAACTAGTATCCTCTAGTTCTTTTTTTTTTTTTTTGAGACGGAGTTTCGCTCTCGTTACCCAGGCTGGAGTGCAATGGCGCGATCTCGGCTCATCGCTACCTCCGCCTCCTGGGTTCAGGCAATTCTCCTGCCTCAGCCTCCCAAGTAGCTGGGATTACAGGCACACACCACCACGCCCAGCTATTTTTTTTTTTTTTTTGTATTTTTAGTAGAGACGGGGTTTCACCATGTTGACCAGGATGGTCTCGATCTCTTGACCTCGTGATCCACCCACCTCGGCCTCCCAAAGTGCTGGGATTACAGTATCCTCTAGTTCTTAAGTAGCCTAGTATCAAACCTCCCTATGGAAGAAACTGCGTACTGCAGTTTCTCATATGGTGCTATGTATAACTGTATCGTATATACATACACAGACACATACACAAAATTAATACAAACTGCATATATATACTTAAACATACATAATATGGACTAATAGGACAGGACTTTCTAAATTACAAAAAAAAAATAGCCAAGTAGCCAATGACATTAGCAAGTGATGTTACCTGTGAAAATGTGAGGATTTATGGTGGCAATGCATTTCAGAATTAACAAGCATGTGTTATAGGGCAATGTGAGCCAATGTAGATGAAGGAAATAAGCTTGAGAAATTTATCAATTAGCCGTCAGTATTCAAGCACTGACAGCAATGTGTCTTCAGGGCAGGCATCAGGCATCGCTGGTGCTGAGAGAAACTGGGAATTACCAATTGTGAACTGCTGGGGGATGGAAGGAAACTTAGCGTAGTCTTAGGGGCCACTTGCTTAAATAAATGTATCATCAAACATAATGGGCCAATGGTCAGCCCTTTGAAAACTGATTTCAGGGCCTTCCTTTCCTCAGGCTGCTGCCTCCTAGGCCAGATCCTTTCCCTGGTTTACATACCATAACCGTTGTATTCGCGATAGGAAACTATACAATGCTGACATGGAAAGCGAAGACCATCTTTTCCTTTCAGTGTCTCTGTAAGCAAGGCCACTGGCTGACCAAGATCCATTCTGAAGGTAGAGAGTCTCTTTAAATTCCAGCTTTGTGATTACAAAGCCACTGTTGTTCCTGATCCTGCCAACTGTGATACTGTTGCTTCAGAATTACTGGGTTTCCTGTTCACCACACTCACCGACCTAAGGAGGTTTGGTATTTTTCTGATGTTATGGGCTTCCAGTACATACTAGAGCCTGTGACAATCAGCTGATGATCAGACAAGTTTGTTGGGGTTTTACCTAAGTATTTTTCTTTGTGTTTTAAAAAACTTAGGGTGGGAAATGCTCTCACAGTGAGATGGTTTAACTTCATTAGGCACATAACCCATTTTTATTATAGAAAGAAATGCCTGTATAAGTAAAAAGATCATTTTCGTTAGTCCCACCATTTACAGGTAAGCAGTGCACTAAGTATACATCTTTGCAGATTTATTTCTATGCACACATATATGTACAAATATTTTTACAATAGAGTTATACCATAAATACCACCTATAATGGTATCTCAGTTGTCAATATATGTATAAGATTCTGTAGCCTTCCACTGTGGATGTACCAAAATTTATTTAATTCTCTGTCACTGGACACTTTTGTTTCACTAATATGTAGACACGCATAAGTAATGTCTCAACATCTCTGCACCTCTATTTTTGGTATAAGTATTTCCTTATGATAAAGTTCCAGAAATGTAATTGCAAGGTGTAAAAGATTGTTAACACATCTGAAGGCCTTAAGATGCCCTTACGGTGTATTTGTTACATCCTGCTTCCACACAAATTCTTCTGTATAGCCAGTACCCAAGCTGCAGCTCTCAGCACAGGTGAAGACAGCCAGGATGCCCCAGTCAATGCTCTTGCCCAGTCTGTCAGCCTTCAGGTAGTTTAGGAGCTGAGGCATGACCTGAGATGAGGGTGACATACAGTTAGAATGCTGCCTCACAGCAGGGAGCGCTACTTTTAAGAGACTTTCTTGGCCAGGATGATAAGGGGGATCCTGGTCTTTCAATCCTTAAACAGGATTAACGACAATATACAATTGGTATATGTAACAACCTAAAGCTATCTTATGACTTGAAAGCCCCACTCTACTTCATCTGACCTTCTGTTTGGTATGTCTTCCATTTGAGAAAGAAGTTCACAAGTGGCTGCTAATGAATTATTTTCATTACTAATATACCATTCAAAAGGGCTGAGGCTTCTATTTGGGCAACTTTATATCATTGCAGATGTTGTTACTCTTGACTCAAGAAACACCGATTACTAGTAATGACACTATGATATGGATTCAATATACAAATCCTGTCATCTCATTTTGGACATTGAGAGCTTTGGCACTAAGAACCAAGCATAGTTTTAGATGTGGTCCTCATAATTACTTTTTTACCCAAAGAAACAAACCCAGTATTAGCTATGACTTAGGTAAGGTTAGTGAATCCATAGCTCAAGATCATTTCCACCCTACCCAAATGGATTTTGGTGCTAAACAAATCCGTTTGTGTGTGGGGGGGTGGGGGGAAACGACATTTATCTTTAATGCTTATATCCATTTGTTCTTCGAACAAATCCACAAACCAAGATTAAATGTTGAAGACCCCCCTCTTAAAAGTATGGAGTCAAAAGACTATTTAATTGAACTAGAAAGGAAGGTATAAATTTTAAAATAAAAGTTAACAGAGGCACTAAAAATAATGACATAGCCGCACTGGAGGTGGAGGACACTCTAGATATCCTCATCTTCACAGAAGTCAGTGAACAAATAGTGTCTGAAAATTAGGAAACAAAAAACAAAGGATTCCTTCCAGGGAACTAGCCCCAAGGTGAGGCAGGAAACTGATGATTCTCATTATAGGGCACCATCTGTACTGCCATGTTGACCCATGTGCACAAATTACCTTGGTAAAGTTTTTAATGCTTAAAAATATTAATCATGGTGATCACACACTAAAATGGTCCTTATTTAAGGTCATACCTGGAATTCAAATATTCTCTTGGCACCACAGGGGCAATCCGGAATATCCTTTTCTTGAGGAATATTTTCACCAGAAATCCAGATGGGGGCAATACCTCTGCCATATCTGAGAATCTGAAATCAATGAGGATCATGTTCAAATAATTATACCTTACCTAAAAGTTTCCAATGATAACACGCTCTCTGATGATCATTTAGAGAAACTCCATGAATGTTCCCACTCTTGATGTAACACTGACCCAAAAGGCATGTCATAGTTCCCCCATCAGACCTGGCTGTGCCAGTGTGCCATTCATGCCTTTTCGAGCACCTCAAAGTGATTATTTCAGCTTATCTGACTCAGGGGCATAAAAATGTATTTCCTAGTTGATGCTTTTATTACCTAATGTTGGAATCTTAATACTATGAATATGCTGTGAAGGGACTAAGAATGAGCCTTTGCTTCTCCGTTATCAAGTTCTGATTGTAGAATTCTGCCTACCTTCTGTGGCTACCTTCATAGTTAAAAATTTGAGGAGGGACAAATAGCAAGTAAAACACAGTGTTTGGAAACAAGACTACAAACCCAGGTAAATGCCACCGTAATAAGCTTCCTATGGCACCTGAGTGGTTTTCTGTATTTGTCTAAAAGCATATGGACTGCTAAGAACTGCCTCAGTGTTTAGGACCTAGATCTACTCTTCCTGTAAAGCCCTGGGTATTTACTGGATCCAGTGACTGGTTTACGGGAATTTAGTTTTCTCTGATGATTTATGTTAATGGAGAAAATGTTGACATGTCATATTTGTTTCACAAGCCAGAGGTACCTGTTGGAAAAGGGAAAATAACATTTTTTCTTTTTTGGGGCCAATGGTGCCTAAACCTCATGTACCATAGGCAACAGCTCATTCATCTCCCATCCCTGATGCTTTCTTTAGAGAATGATAAACAGTATAACCTTTAGTCTTTCAGTAACTATTAAATGGATCAGCACTGCAAAACACCTTTCTACATGGCCATCTGTGTGAGGAACTCCTCTAACAAGATAACAAAAACCTGATTTTACAGGCTCCTAAGGAACAGACTAGTGTTACTATGAAAAGTTAATTCTCAGAGGTTATACTCATAAAACATGGCCTGAAGAGAACACAATGAGGAGTCTGTGTTTACTTTACCTGTTCTGGTTCAAGGGCTATCTGAGTTTTAAACTTCTGAAAAATTTCATCTTCCCTGGATTCATGTTTTGCCATGGAATCCAGTTCTTCCTCAAGTGCTTCACCTGAAAAATCAACATAACTATGATGGAAAACCGGAATAATCTTCACAGTTTGACAATTCACACATGGTGAGGGGACTCACTTTTAATCGGATAGCTTTCCCTATTTATTTACTCGTTAGAGTTGTACCATCTGAATTTCCAGGTACTCCATTCAGCTCTATTATATGGGCTTCCATTCAGTACATCTCTTTAAAGCTTCAAAATAACAGAATGGTCAAGTCAAGGGCTTAGGACTGCCCAGCACATCATAGAACATCCAACATATGTGAGCCCTTCTTATCACTGGTATCCTCAGCTGGTACACTTGCTCACTCACTCATCAAATGTTCATTTCCAGCCAGGCATGGTGACTCACACCTGTAATCCCAGCACTCTGGGAGGCTGAGGTGGGCAGATCCCTGAGGTCAGGAGTTCAAGACCAGCCTAGCCAACATGGTGAAACCCACCCTGTCAGTACTAAAAACATGAAAATTAGCCAGGCGTGGTGGCAGGTGCCTGTAATCCCAGCTACTTGAAAGGCTGAGGCAGGAGAATCACTTGAATCCAGGAGGCAGAGATCGCAGTGAGGTGAGTTGAGCCATTGCGCTCCAGGTTGGGCGACAGAGCAAGAGTCTGTTTGCCCACCCCCAAAACAAAAAGTTCATCTCCTCCATGTTCCTTTTTGGGATTATAGCCACTCTGAGCCACTACTGTCCCCAACAGACCTGTGTCTCCAAGTATAGCCATTAGTCTTGTAATGTACATTAAAATATAACTGATATACCCTGAGTCAGAGAAGCTAAAATAACAGCTTTAATGAAACTGGAAAGGCATTGGTGGTGTTCACTTGCACTGTCAGATCTGATGGAGAAAGTGCAGGATGCCTTCAGATTCGCGTTTCATCAAGTGTACCTGGAAAGTTTTAGTATAACCTTTAGGACACAGTAAACGCTTTTCCCTCAGGCCCTGCTGCCTCCCGCCAAACTCCCTCATCTGGGAACTCAAGCTCGAGTCTCAGGTAAGACACAGCTACCTCCAGGAAGCATTTTTCTTTTTCTTTCAATTCCCCTTTTATTTTGGAAAATTTTGAACATACACAAAAGTGGAAAGACTATAATGAACCACCACATACCATCAATCAGTTTCACACTATCAAGTCCACTGTGTCCTTTCTCTCCCACTTCCAACTCAGTTATTCTTCATCCCACACATGTCACTTCATTCATAATTTAGTTATGTACCCCTAGAAGGCAAACTCTTTTATTTATCAATTTGAAAATAATGAATCTGTTCCCAGGTATCTTACAAAGATGAAGTATCATTTTGAACCCATTAAACATATCTGATGCAGTTAGTGTCCTTAGGGATGTTCAAACTGTCCATCTTTTGCCAGCAGGAGCCTTTTCATGTTGCATGAGTTCTGACATGGCCCTAGTAATCACTGCTAGCTTCCTTAATCTTTGATATGACAAGTTCCCACATTATTTGAATACTTCCTGACCCAGTTCTGGAATCAACCACCTCTCCAAAGAGCCTGGAGTTCCTTTTAGAGAGAGTAGACACCATCAACATTGTCTTCCTCCCATGCCCAACACCTCAGTTCTCATAATTACTCATTTGCTTTATCCCCCCAACACACACAAAACTGTCTCAAAATAACAGCAATAGTCTAGTAATAACACGTTTACTGAAAATACTAACAGTGTTCATGTTCTTTTCATTCTCAGGGTCTATTCCATTAGAGATGTACTGTCCTATGTTTTTAAGTCGCCTAGAAGAGTTCTTAGTGTTGTTATATGACTACATAAAGAATTTTTTTTTTTTTTACTTTTGATGATTAGGGACTGCTTTTAAAAACTTATTTTACTTTATAATCTTAAAATACACAGTTCCACAGTCACATTTACACAAACAAGGCATATCTGAAGTTCAGCTTTCATCCTTGAGCCTCCTACTCTAGGCTCTCCCTTCTAAAGGTAAGCATTTTCATTATTTATCATTTTATCATATAGGTATGAACATACACATGTGACCCCTTCCAGGCAGTCTTCAGAGATGTCACATGTGTTCCTATGGCACCTGTATTGTACTCTTACCAGTCATTACATGGAATTTAACTTCCCTAAGTATTATTTGGGATGCTCCATGAGACTGAGCATCTGACCACTGGAGTGTCGCTTCCCATTATATCCCTATTAGCAAGCATGAGGTCAGGCACAGAGTAAGACTCAAACATGTTTGGAATGTATGACTGGGATGAACTACAAAGCAGTAAGCTGACATTTTCATTTTGAGTCTATAGTTTTGTGGTGGTTTTGTGTATGGCTCAAAGCTCAAATTGTGAAGCTTAACATTATTAGACCAAAGCAAGTTATACCCAGAACCTCAATTTCCTCACCTTCAAAATGAGCCAGTTTCTGACTTACTGGTCTGCTGTCAGGATTTTAATGAGCCCATGCACAAACAGCCCTTTATATAAGATAAGTGCTGGATAAATGTTGGCTACTATAATAAAATAAGCCTCTAAGATAGTTGCTCAGCATAAGCACTATCCAAGGGTATGCACTGTAGATAAACTGACAAAATTGTGTACCTAAAACTGGCCAGGTGAAAAAGAAACTTTTAAGGGGCCCTTCTGCATGCCTGACACTGTGCTAGGCACTCACACTATCCTGACCTGAGAAACAGATCTGGGAGCCAGAGGAACTTACCAAGCCTCCAGCATCTTGTGCAGCGCTACTCATGGGACCATCCGGATACCCCCCTCGTTGTCTTTGTAGGGAGCAGAACACACCTGATACATGTCAAGAAACAATGTCCAGGAAGAATATTTTCACCTGAGGCAATATCTGAAAATTGTAGGCTATGGCCTCCAGAGTCTTCCTCTCAGTACCTCTCTTACAGACACATCGAGCCCTTTCTTCCAAGCATTATGTTTAATCACTTATGAAATCTTGAAACTGCTTACCCATGCTCCCTATAATCTCTGAGTAATCTTCCTTTTCCACAACCTCAGGGAATATTTCGTCTTCTGTTTCTATTACAATTTCGAATTCTGGAAAAAGGAAGTTGTGGTCTGGAATTCTATGGTCCAAATGATCTGAGACAGAAAAGACAGCACTATTAGTAATGATTTAGTTTTGAAGACAGTCTAATAATTTGCTGTCTCTAAAGTACCACATTCCCTATAGTAACAGTTATCCCTATTATTACATGTAGTTCTGGGATTTTACAGAAAAGGTCGTAAATTAAATGCCTATTTGGTGATATTACTCAGTGATTGAGACTTCAGAGTCTCTTTTTTACAAAGGTGTTCCAGTTAGGAAAAATTCTGACGTATTATACTTTTCATAATTTTAACTTTAAAGTTTCCTGGAAATACCTGGGTTGACAAAGGCAATGAAACTGAATTGAGAAAAAGATGACTCACCTGGTTGTGCACAAGCCTGCTTATGTCCCAGTCTCCAGTCTAGGGTCTGATGCTCCTTGCTGCAGTAATACACTTTGTGGCATCTGGAGCACGTTTTGGGGCCTAAACAGCCACAAACCCTGCATAGATGAGCACCAGACTTAAGTTGGAGACACACTGATTCGGTTTCTGGGGAAGGATTCTCAGAAGGTGGCTCATATGAATAAAAATCATTTTTCCTGGGTAGCTGATTCCTAAAAACTAAAAAAGAATGCAGAGAAAGTTTTATCAGTCAAACAAAACAGCAATTCAAATATCTGAACCTCTACACATAAAAGATTTTTTTTTTTTTTTTTTTTTCCTTAGAGAAATGAATGTTTTTGCTTTCAGGAATAAGCTTTTAAAATCCAGAAACTAGATTTTTCTTCTGGTACACGCAATAGAGTTGCCTCCTGGAGCTGGTTCGAATTAATTTCATAAGACTAATAATTAAGACCGACTGCCAAAAATAAGAAAAAGCTACTGGGACCCATCTTTCCAAGACAATTCCTATTACTGAATAGCACTATACCGAATACCCATCGATTCAAAGCTGGGGGTTACCAATGCGCGAGGGCACAGACACTAATTTAGTAAAAATGAGGACACCCTTGAACGGCCCGGTAGAAGGTGCTCCTGGGGCGGTGCAGAGAGGAAGCTCCGAGAATGGGGCTGCAGCGGTGCTTTCCGATGTACCCCTAGTCACTCCCGCAATTTCAACGACGCGTGGCCCCATCCCGACCCCAATGGGCCACGCACCTCGCAGGCCGGCGCAGCACGGCGGCTCGCGGCAGCAGAAAAGGAAGATGCCGCGGTGGAAGGCGTCGGCGCGGCCGGGCAGCGGCGCGTACACCTGCAGCAGGAAGGAGAGCGGGCGGCCGCACAGCGCGCAGGCCAGGGCCCCGGGCCCCGGCAGCCCGGACGCGCCCAGCCACGCGGGCCGCCCGCCTACCTTGCTGGGGAACTGCTCGCTGCGCAGTCGCCACGCCGGCGCCAACTCGGCGAAGCCCAGCTCCACCTGTCCCGCCCGGGAGGCAGCCATGCGGGGCGCAGGCTGGGTGAGGCGCAGCCCACAGCGGGACCAGAAGGCGTAAGTTGGGTGCCGGACCGGAAGGCAGGAGGAGGGAACCTTTCCGGAAGACGGGAGGCGGGAACACGTTTGACAAGGGCGGCTCCAGGACCCCTGCAAGGGGACGGGGCGCAACCTCCCGGCGTTGGCTCCGCCCCTGGCGCCTCTGCTTCCGGGCCGCTTGCCTGGTGCCTCCGGGTGCTCAGGATTGGCCTTCGGGAGAGTCGCAGCTGGTGACGGCGGCGCTCCGCCTCGCCTCTGCGCATGTCCTGCAGGGGCCTGCGGGTGGGCGCCATGTAGGCAGAGCCCCGGCTCAAGCCTTCCCTGCTGGTGCCCACTTCAGGACGTGGGAAACTTGTGTGCTGGCCAAGTGCCACTCAGGGAGCAGGGCTGCACGTTCTGCACATGTACCCCTGAACTTAACGTATAATAAATAATTTTTTTAAAAAACAGTAAGTTAAAAATGCCAGGGAAATAAAAAAGATAAAGGTTGAAGAGGTAAATTGAGGACTCTGCAGTGGAAACTGAGAACCCTGTGTGTCCTGAGGGTAATGAAGCCTCTGCACAGAGTCTGTTCTGTCAGTCTTAAGATCTCTGTTTATTTTATTTTATTTTATTTTATTTTATTTTGAGACGGAGTTTCGCTCTTGTTACCCAGGCTGGAGTGCAATGGCGCGATCTCGGCTCACCGCAACCTCCACCTCCTGGGTTCAGGCAGTTCTCCTGCCTCAGCCTCCTGAGTAGCTGGGATTACAGGCACGCACCACCATGCCCAGCTAATTTTTTTGTATTTTTTTTAATAGAGACGGGGTTTCACCATGTTGACCAGGATGGTCTCGGTCTCTTGACCTCGTGATCCACCCGCCTCGGCCTCCCAAAGTGCTGGGATTACAGGCTTGAGCCACTGCTCCTGGCCAAGATCTCTGTTTAATGCTGGCTTGCTGTGTCTGAATTTCAAGGGAGGAGTGTATAATGAGGCATGCCCAACCCCCACTTCCCATTATGGCCTGAACTAGTTTTTCAGGTTAACTTTGGAATGCCTTTGGGCAAGCACAGAGTCCTTCAGCGGGTTGGAGGGTTTAGAATTGTATTGTTGGTTTGCAAAGGTCTGAAAGAAACATGTACCATCTATTCTTTTTTTTTTTTTTTTTTGAGACGAAGTTTCGCTCTTGTTACCCAGGCTGGAGTGCAATGGCGCGACCTCGGCTCACCGCAACCTCTGCCTCCTGGGTTCAGGCAGTTCTCCTGCCTCAGCCTCCTGAGTAGCTGGGATTACAGGCACGCGCCACCATGCCCAGCTAATTTTTTGTATTTTTAGTAGAGACGGGGTTTCACCATGTTGATCAGGATGGTCTCCATCTCTTGACCTCGTGATCCACCCGCCTCAGCCTCCCAAAGTGCTACCATCTATTCTTTATAAGGACTTCTACCTGTGAGGTTTCAGTTACATAACAAGACCACAGTTGTCAGGCAGGTAACCTCTTCTCCACTCCCATACCCTGTTATGCCACAATCCAAACCCCCATTCTCTAACCTCAAGATGATGTATAAGCTTCTGAACTCCATTTGGGGCTTGAGTATAATCACTCTGGTTCTCCCCCATGTGCATGTTAATAGATTTGAATGCCCTCGGTCCAGTTAAATTGCCTTTTGTCAGTTGACTTTTCAGTGACCCTTCAGAGGGCAAAAGGGAAGCTTTCCCTTGGCTCCTACAGTGGTGTTAATGGAAGTAAAGTCATCAATAACATTTATTTCTGAGAAAAATCACAGTTTAATTGGCAGTATGTTTGTTTTGCTTTTTTTTTTGAGATAGAGTTTTGCTCTTTCACTGAGGTGAGGCTGGAGTACAATGGCGCAATCTTGGCTCATTAGAACCTCTGTCTTCCAGGTTCAAGCATTCTTCTGCCTCAGCCTCCCTAACAGCTGGAATTCAAGTGTGTCCCACCATGCTTGGCTAAGTTTTCTATTTTTAGTAGAGGTGGAGTTTCACCATATTGGTCAGGCTGGTCTTGAACTCCTGGCCTCAGATGATCTGCCTGCCTCCGCCTCCCAAACTTCTGGGATTACTAGTGTGAGCCACCATGCCTGGCCAGCAGTATATTTGTAATGGTACATAAAATAATGTCTTTTTTTTGTTCTTTGGGTTTTTGTTTTTTTTTTTTTTTAAATGGAGTCTTGTTCTCTCACCCAGGCACTGGGCTCTGAGAAGTGCTAACTTTAGGTATGACCCAACACATTTCCAGCTGTGGTTTGAGAAAAGCAGGGGTAAAGAAAATTCTGTGTTGCACCTCATATAGCAGCTCAGCCACAGTGGAGTAGAGCACCAAGCAGAATCTTAGAGTTTCTGAGTCCAGGCCTAGGGTCTTGGTCAGCATTTCTGCACTTTCCCTGAACCAAAGGTCGAGTCCCAGACATTGCAGAATGTATCACAAGCTTACTAAAGGGTCCTTGGGCTTTAAGGGAGAAATTGATGATGATCTGGCAGAACCCCCTCCATGGGCCAGTGGTTTTGGCAGCCATAGAAGAGGATCCTCTGCCTACAGATGAGGGAAGGAAAAGTAGAAAATTCTTTGTCTTATGGCCTAAGTGCCAGGTTAGGTATAGTAAAATATTAAGAGCAGGTAAATATTAAAGATTTTATACTTCAATCTCTGGCTCCCAGATAGCATCTATGGACCCACTCATGACTACAATAACTTGCCACCCTGGAGGTAGAGACACAAACCTGGCTGGTTTTGCCACTTATTAATCACAGAGTCCTAGGGCTGTGAGTAAATTTATATGGTGGCCAAGTACTGATTACAGTGGGCTTTGGGTGAAGCCAAGTTCTGTGCCTACTTCAGGTGTGAACCTGCACAGTACCAGTGGTGGTGGTTGCAGAGGTGCTTATGTTACCCCAATCCCACCTCCATATGCCTCAGCACAGAAAGAGAGACTCTGCTGGTTTGAGAGAAAGTAAGGAAAGAGGACAAGAGTCTCTACTTGATAACTCAAGATAAGTTTTCTTGATGTTAATCCAAGACCACCAAGGCAAGACCTCTATTTGTTTGCATAAACTACTGTGTTACTGGGTTTGCAGCCCAAGTCTCTTTGAATACCTGGAAAGTTTTTTCAAAAATAATGGGCACAAACAAGCCCTGTGAAGACTACAATAAAGACTGAACTCTTGAATGCCCAGATCCAGATGAACATCTGCAAGTATTAAGACCATCCAGGAGCACAAGACCTCACCAAACATGCTAAATAAGGCACCAGGGACAAATCCTAGAATAAAAGAGATGTGTGACCTTTCATACAGGCAATCGAAAATAGTTGCTTGAGGTGATTCAAAGAAATGCAACATAACACAGAGAAAGAATTCAAAATTCTATCAGATAAATTTAACAATGATATCAAAATAAAAATAACAGCAGAAATTCTGAAGTTAAAATGCAATTGACATACTGAAGAATGCATTAAAATTACTTAAAAATAGACTATTTGAAAATGCAAAGTCGGAGGAGAAAAAAGGATTAAAAAAAAAAAAGAATGCCTACAGAATCTGAAAAACAGCCTCAACATAGCAAATCTGAGAGTTATTGGCCTTAAAGAAAAGGTAGAGAAAGAGATAAGAGTTAAACATTTATTTCACTAAATAATATTAAACAATTCCTCAACCTTTGATATCAACATTTGAGTATGAGAAGGTTACAGTACACCAGGCAGATTTAACCCAAAGAAGACCACCTCAAGGCACTTAAGTGAACTCCCAAAGGTTAAAGATAAAGAAATGATTCTAAAAGCAATGAGAGAACAAAAACACATAACATTTAGTGGAACTCCAATGCATCTGAAAGCAGGCTGAGAGAGTGGCATGACATATTTAAAGAGCTGAAAAAAAATAAACTTTTACATTGGAAAAATGTATCTTTCAAAAACGTCCTTTAAACTTGAAGGAGAAATAAGAACTTTTCCAGACAAACAAAAACTGAGGAATTTCGTTAACACCAGACCTGTCGTATAAGAAATTGCTAAAGGGAGTTCTTAATCTGAAAGAAAAAAAAAGTGAGTGAAATAAGAAATCATCTGAAGGTACAAAACTCACTAGTAATAGCACACCGAATACTATAACATGGTAATTACGGTGTGTAAAAATCTCAGAAAGAGTAAACAATAAACCAAAAAAAAAAAAAGCCCTTCCAGGACATAGCTAGTAAAATAGGGAATGAAGAGAAACAACAAAAAGTTTAAAAGAATGACAATGAAGTTAGAGTGTAGAGTTATTAGTTGTTTTGCTTGTTTCTTTGTTTATGCAATCAGTATTAAATTGTCTGCAGTTTAAACTGATGTCATATTATTTTCAAGTTTCATGGTAATTTTAAAACAAAAAGTGTGCCACAGATATACAAAAAAATAAAAAGCAAGAAATTAGATTATATTACAAAAGAAATCACCTTCACTGAAAGGAAGACAGGCAGAAAGGAAAAAGGAAAGAGAGGATAAAAATCAATCAGAAAACAAATAACAAAATGGCAGGAATAAGTGCTTACTTGTCAATAATAACATTGAATGTAAATAAAAATAATCCAGTCAAAGACAAATAGTGGATGAATGAATAGAAAAGCAAGACAGTAATCTGTGACCTACAAAAAATACTTTATCTATAAAGATACATTTAGACCTAAAATGAAAGGATGGAAAAAAGGTATTCCATGCCAATAGAAACCAAAAAAGAGCAGAAATAGCTATACTTATACTAGACAAAAATAGATTTCAACAAAAGACTATAGGAGGAGATAAATATATTATATTAGATAATAAAAGACCAATTCATCAAGAAAATATAATAGTTGGAAATATATATGCACCCAACACTGAAGCACCTGGATAAATGAAGCAAACATTCTAAGAGCTAAAGAAAGAGACTTGAATACAATAATGGCTGGACCCTTCCACACCCCCCTTTCGTCATTGGATAGACCTTCCAGACAGAAAATCAACAAAGAAACATCAGACTTAATCTGCACTATAGAACAAATGAACCTAATAGATATTTACAGAAAATTTCATCCAAAAGCTGCAGAACACACATTCTCCTCAGCACATGGGTTGTTCTCAAGGATAGACCATATATTAGGTAACAAAACAAGCCTATACACATTCAAAAAATTGAAGTAATATCA